CCGCCACTTTTATGAAAGCAGACCCTCTCGGCGGCCAGGCGGCCAGCATGGAGTGTGAGGGCTGCTCAGCTCTGCCCTGCCCCTCGGTGCCGTTACAGTTCCATGGGCAGCAGTTTTCCTGGCTCTGTCCTGCGACCCAGGTTCGGGGCCCTCAGCCCTGGCAAGTGTTTAGAAGGGACCAGACAGCAGGCAGTACACCTTCCGCCCGAGAGGGATGATGCGGGGGTTTATAGCCGCTGTGGAGAGGAAACTCCTCCCTGAACGGTTCATGTTTTCTTAAACGTATGAAAGGCAGGTTCTCTTTCCTTTGGACCAAGGCCCTGTGTCCTTGTGGAGCCCAGGAAACGGGCAAAACCTCTTGGGAAACTCCAGGGTGAGATGAGTCTGACCCCCTGCTGAAGCACCCGGCTGTGTTCTCAGCGGACTCGTCCCAGGGCTGGAGTGTGTCTGGCATGCCGCAGGCTCTCGGCCAACCTCTACCAAGGGAAATGGGATGATGAGTAACCGACATGGCTGGGGACCGACCTGAGTGAGTGCCGGACTGGGCACAGACATCGCTGCCCCTCTGGGGACACTCTCTCCAAAGCCAGAGGGGTTGGCAGGTTTTCACAGCCTGTCTGGGAGCCTGTGTGTGAGGCCGGCCCTGGGCCTGGCCCTGGCCCAGGAAGCTTGCGGCACTGCAGCAGCTGGGGCATCGTGCAGGCCAGGTAGCCAGGGCCAGGGCCAGGCCAGCCACCGTGCTGGTGTGCAGGCGAGGCCAGGGGAGCAGGGGCTTAGCCTCAGAACCACGCACACAGTGGCCCAAATGGGTCAGGTGCCAAGCAGTGCTGGACACCCACCGAGCTGTCTGTACTGGGTGTCGGCCTTCCACTCGCAGAGGCGAAAATGGCTCGGAGGTGTAGAACTGTCGCTGCTCATGATTGCCCTGAGCCAAATCCCCAGGAGACCCATTTCTTACTGAGACAGCCAGTGACCCTCCTGGGCTCAGGGCACTTTCCTCCCAACTTTGGTCCCCTGCCAGCCTGGGAAGCCCCTCGGTACAGGAGTGAAGGACCCAAGTAGAGGGCCTTCATTTACAGGTGCGGTTCTCGGCTCCGGAGTGGAGAGGTGACGGTCTCTAGTTGCATATGGTCTGAGCCTGGCCCAGATAAGGAAGCCCATTCCGCTCCAGAACTCCTGACGTCTAAATGCCAGGGCACCAGGACTGGGGATTCCTGACCCTGGGTGGCCAAGGACTGTGGCCCTGCCGCCTGCTTTCCCTGCCCACAAGCGCCACAGGTGAACCAGCCAGTGCCAGGAGGAGCGGACGGGAAGGTTGTTCCAGCAGATGCCAGAGGCGGCCAGGCAGAGCTCCTGGGTGGGAGGGACCAACCCCGGCATTTGGGCAGAAGCCAGGGCAGCCCAGCAGCCGTCCATCCTCAGGTAGACCGCCCTTATTTTGCAGACGGTCTCCATCCTGGAGCAGCGGCTGACGCTGACGGAAGACAAGCTGAAGCAGTGTCTGGAGAACCAGCAGCTAATCATGCAGGGAACGACACCGTGATCGGGGGAGCACGAATCAGGAACACGTTCGATTGGGGGGAGCAGGCCAGGGATTTGTACCGTGGGACTTGGGTTAAAAATAAAAGGGTTTTGACTCTGCGGGGTCCCATCCTGTGCCAAGCCCCCAGGATTGCTGCCCGCACCAGGAGGCTCTCCACAGAAAGGACACGCGAGACCAGACTGCCAGGAGCGCGTTAGTTTAATGTCAAGGAGCCGTGCGAAAGTGTTTGCCACCTCTCTTGGGGAGGCGACCGGACACCTTGCCGTTCACTCATTTCAGCCACGTGATTGGCTTTCCCCACCCCTGCTATGGCCTAGAAACAGACCATTCACCGGTCGGAGGAGCCGGGGCTTTCTCCAAACCTGACAAAAGGCCCAAAGGGGGTCCATCGGATCAAGTTTGTCCAGAAAACCAGCCCCCTGGGGTGGGTGGCGGCTTCACATGGCGTTGGTTTCTGGGCCCACACGTTCACTGGGGCCTGGTGTCTTCCTCCCTGCAGCCGTGAGGGCCAAGGGAGCTGAAAATTAAAACTGCCTGAGCTTGTTGCAGGATTGGCTTGTTCTGGATGAGACCTAGTCCGTCCACCATCTCCAGGGCTCATTCAGGGAGAATGAAACAGTGACTTGGGAGAGCCCCTGCCCAAACCACCTGAGGCCCGGGATCCCCTTGTTGGCGGCAGTTCAGGGTCTTGGGGGAGCAGGGGCAGCCAGAGCACCTGCATACCACGCACCTCTCTCTGGCTGCACCCCCCGCAGGTGTTGGGAGCGCCCGAAGCCGGGGTACCTGCACTTCTATTTGCTCATGAGGGTTTCCTAGGTTCGTCCCTCGGCAGTGCTGGGACCAAGCCAGTGTTTGCTTGGCTTTGGCATCTTGGGGCCCCACCACCTGGGGAGGTCTGATCCCAATCACACCTGCCATGTCCGGAGTCTGGGGGGTGGTGTTAGGTCGTCCTGAGAGCTGTGCGTGCCGGGTGGGTACCACGGGTAGGGGTTCCCAGTTTCTACAGACTCCAGCGGGGAGCAGAGCCCAGATTCCTGGGCGCTCACTGACAAGGGACAGCCTGTGTGGAGTGACCAGCAAAGGGGGACCTGCCTTTCTTCAGCCTGCACTGTGTGGGCAGGGCCAGGCCTCAGGTTCTGCCTGTTGTCACTGCATCATCTTGACGTTGTGACCTAACCTCTCTGAGCCCAGATTCTGGTTCTTCCTGTGCATGATGGTCGTGCCATCCCAGGGAAGACCATTGCTCCCCTCCCACACCGGTCCCACCAGGACGGCTGGGCCTGCTGTCACTGACCCACTTCCTGTGGGCTGGAGGCGGGAAGAGCTGCTGGCTCAGGCCATCCTGCAGGCCTTCAGGGACCGCTGGTTCTTCCCTGTGGCCCTGCTCTGCGTGGGAGAGTCTGGCATGCCTGCTGCCCTGCACTGACAGGTGAGGCTCTCATCACCTCAGGAGGGGTAAGCTCCCCACCCCTGGAGGCTTTAAGGAGTCTGGGCAGCCATGGGTCAGCTGGCTCAGAGGGGCCGCAGCCTGTGAGGCCAGCTCATTGTCCCCTCCTGTGCAGCCCTCCTGCCACAGATCGGCCCTGGCCTGCCTGGGGTGGCATCCGACCTGGATTGGACCTGCCGGGTACTGGGCTCTGCCGATGTGAGCAGACAGCCCAGGCAGGGTCATCTCCAAACACAGATGATGGCCCCTGGTCAGGGGCAACAGGACGTGAGCAGGACCTTCAAGATGTTGTGGCAGCTCCTGCTCACAGGCCTGTTCAGGGCTGCCCCTGTCCCCATGTCCACTTGGCACCAGGGTCCCATTTGGGACTCTCCAGAAGGCCACCTTTGTTGGCATAGAAGCGTGGCCTTGACGGGAAGGGCCTGGGGTGCTGTGTGCTGTTTGTCTCTGGTGGCATCCTGCAGGCGGAAGCTCCACCAGTTACAGATGTGAACGACAGGAGGGGCACCCACTGCCCACACCCCTGCGCTCTATAGGATGATGGGGTATTCGTGCTGGGCCCAGCTGGATGTTTCTCAGAGGCAGGCCAGAGCCGAGGCCGAGCTTAGGAGGCCTACGCTCACACAGCCCTCAGTGGAGCCACCAGCCACCAGCCAGCCTCGGAAATTAAAATGACACAATGAAAATGGAAATGAAAATTGAAAATGAAAATTTAATTGAAATGAAAATTAAAATGAAACCTGCCCTTCTGGGCCAGCAGATGGTATAGCAGTTATGTTGCTGGACTCCCACATGGCCGATCTCGGTTCAAGTCCCGGACCCAGTGGCTTGAAAATCACGCTGGGTGCGATCCTGGGAGGAGAATGGAGGAAAAAGGATTGTCCCTCTCACTGTCTCTGTCTTTGTCTCTCTCTCTCCCGCAATGAGTACATGTACTCTAAAGCAAAAACCCTTTGGGGGTGGGGGTGGGGATAAACCCTGCCCTTCCAAGGCTGGGGGTCGTGTATATGACCATGCCAAACAGGGCTGAGCCGTGGAGGGACCCTAGGGTTCCTCCAGGGCCGAGTTCTTTCCCAAAGAGATACTCTCCTTGCTCATGTAAGGCCCAGCCGTATCTGGGGTACCAGGTACCTGGGGGTAGGGAACCAGAGCTCCTGGGGAAAACA